CTTCATTTTACCACCCTTATATAAAGAATTAACCCACTTCCCATCATAATTAATCAAAATTGTCAACTTAGTCATCTTCCTGAAAATAAACAATCCTTAAGAGTTAGGGACAAAAACAATTAGAAAAAATAAATTAACAAAATAGTTGCAAAACACATTTTTGAGAACTACTCTAAATGGTTTCTACTTTCTAGTAAGTACTCAAAACGGTATCTAGCAGCATTCATAAGACATTTAACAATTCTATGGTTTGACAGGCAACTAAATTATTAAAGGAAGTTCTAATGCAAGTAAAAGGCTCTTAAATCAATCTGAACCAGGATCAGACAGGTCAGTGACCCAGCTAGGCTAAGCCCATACACAGCAGATTTTCTCAAATACAGAACAAGTACAGTCATTCACTAACATAGAGAAAAACACACTCTTAGACAACCTATGATTGGTGGATGAACAAGTTGCCAATTGGAATAAGAATGTTGCACACAGATAAATATACAACACCAAATGCATGAAGGTACAAAAAATTACAACTGATTAGAAAACCTACGGCCATTGATCTATGGACAAAAAAGGTCTACCCAGCTCTTGGATTGTCATTAGCTACAACTGGAATATGTTCTTCATCATGGGCTAGCTGTTGCAAGCAAAGCTTATGTTATTGAAAGAATGTAGCTTGTGATTTAGGCCCAATCCAATGGAACCCTAAAACCCTGCTACTCGACCCCTTTCTCCTACATTTTGCTTTTTAAACATCATCAAAAACCAATTTAGGCAATGAGCGATTTCAATTATCACGTCCAAATCTTATCTGTTTTGGTGCAGAAGGGGGCAGAAACCCTAAAACAAATCAATTTGCATAATTTCATCCAACAAGATGAAAGCTTGAAATCAAGGAAGAGTAAGAATTTTTACCGACGCCGAAAGCCACAAACTTATGCTGATTAGGGTCGTAGTGAAGCCCGCGGCGGAGCTGACGGCGTCGTTAATAGGGATTTGGGTATGCAGGAAGCGGTTTAACGACGAGCATTGAGTAAAGGCGCC